ACACACACACATATATATGTATATATACATATGTATATATATGTATATATACACACCTATATGTAAATTAGGAAGTGTTATGGACTAAATTATTATCCAAATGTACATACACACATGTACTTAAATACATACACACATTTATACTTAATCTATGCATATTTGTTGATGTTTATGTGTAGTTATTGTTCTGTTCCAAAGTGTGATTTGACACATTGATATAATTTATCATTAAGGATGTCATTTAAATTGAAGGTAGATACTAATTCCTTTAGTTCAAAATACTATAAACTCATTATTTTACGTAATAATTTTTTATCATAAGACATCCTTTATTTGATTTTATACTTGTATAGAAGTATAAAATTATTAATACCTTTCAATAAAATTGTTTTAGTTGCTAATTCATACTGTAATTTAGGGTAGGAGAATTATGTATATTGTAGCATTTACATCTGTCTCTGTTTTCAGGTCCTGGGATTCTGAGAATTGGGGCAGGGATGAATGGCAATGACAGATTTACAGGTTTGATGCAGGATGTGAGGTTCTATGAGCAGAAACTGACCCTTGAAGAAATTTATGAACTTCATGCCATGCCTGCAAAGAGTGATTTATACCCCATTTCTGGATATATGGAGTTCAGACAAGGAGAAACTAACAAATCATTCATTGTTTCTGCAAGAGATGACAATGAAGAGGAAGGGGAAGAATTATTCATTCTTAAACTAGTCTCTGTATATGGAGGAGCTCGCATTTCTGAAGAAAATACTACAGCAAGATTAATAATACAAAAAAGTGACAATGCCAATGGCTTGTTTGGCTTCACAGGAACTTGTATTCCAGAGGTAAGGAGTGAGCACGGAGCATTTAGAGAGTTGAAAAAATACTGTAGGTAGATTATTTAGGAGTGTACTCTCTTTCATTTAGTAAGATTACTTGATTACTCACTTTAAGCCCTAAACTATGCTAGAGTTAGTGCTTGCAAATATATATAATAAGGTTACTGCTCTTATGAGTTCACTGTTTAAATCAGAAGCTTAATGAACTGATAGAGATAATAACAATTTAGCAAATTAAACATTAGCATTTAGCATTAAAGCCAATGTACTTTACAGAACTCACAATTATACAATATGTGTAGTTTATTTTTTTGACTACTCTGTTGGGTAGGGTATCAGTAAATGAAATAATATATACTGAAAACTTATATGAATAATTACATATTTTTTAAAAGTATGAGTTTTTTTTCACATTTGCAAAGCACACTAAGTAGGTGCCTGCAACATTCCTCTGTGTTACCTGTAAGTGCCTTTCTTATCAACCTTCTTGGTTAGCTTAATCCATTAGGCTGTTTTACTTCCTTATCAGCTCTTTCCAAGTTTGAGAATATCATCTTGGTTCGTAATCATCTTGATTTCCTGTTCAGTAATATGAGAGCGCATGAAAGTACTACACAGGTGTTGTGTGTGACAGTAATGGCTCGATGTCTATGAAAGGATGCCAAAAACAAGAGACGCTTTCCATTGGCAAGCTGATTCTAATAAATTTAGAATGATATGTATGTAAATTGAAATTATAAGGAAAAACAACTTGAAAAAGTATCTAGATCATAGGGCTCATTATAGCTCAGTTTTGAGCAACTGGCTGTCTGCAGTGTTTTATTCACCCTCTTAGTTATTTGGTTTGGTGACATGCATAAAAAATTTTAAATTGTTTTCTTCCATACCAGGGATAGAGCATCTTACACTAGGAAGGACAAGTGTCATACAAATCTACAACTTAAAAAAAATATGTTCACTTATAGGGATAATAGTTTTAAATAGAAATTCAGTTAGCAGAGAACTTTTACATGTTAAGTTTTATGCAGCTTTCTCTGATAGTTTATAGTATAGGTGTGGTAGTTTGGTTTGTGTGTCAACTTGGCTGGGCCTGGTTGAGTGGCTGGGCAGCTGGTGGTAGTTAATCCTCATGAGGAGACTGACAATCAACTCCATGGTGGGATCTACCACAAGCAGCTGGGTAACTGCCTTTGGGTATGTGGTATGCTTCCTGTATATAAGGAGAAGCTTTGAGAATGGTCTCTGGCCTATGGCACGTTTGGACCCTGCATGTAGCCTTGTCCTTGTTCAGCAGCCTGCTATGCTCTGCCGACCTTTGGACTTAAAATGGACTTAAGTTAATGGCCTGCCATGTGGTTTGGTAACATTACTTGTCAACCTTGGGGCTTCTCAGCCTCAGCAGCTAGCAGCTGTCTGAGTGAAGAAATGCCTCTAGCTCCAGTGGGCTGGGAGCAGGAGGCAGAGCAGGACCCCAAGGTTGAGGGGCTTTCACCCAGCCCCTAGAGCCTGGCACTTTGAACTTGGACTTAAAGCCTCCAAATTGTAAAAGTAATCTTCTGTTTGCTAAGGCCATCCCATTTGTGGTATATTTCTTGTCAGAGCAGCACTGGGTAAGCAGAACAATAGGTTCAAGAGGTATTAATTATTATTACTCTTTCCAATTTGTATGGTTAAAAAACTGAATCTTAGAGTCCTGAGAAAATATCTAGCCAAAGTGGAATTAAATGACACAGCATTAAATTGCCTGGTTCAAAATCTGGAATTTACTAAAGCTTAATAAATATTAATTTACCCCCCTTTTTCCCCTCTGAGGATACAATGGTGAGAACCTGGATTTGAACCGATGTCTTGTGACACTTAACCTGTTGGCTTTCACCCTATATCTTTAGTAGCATCGTCTGTGTTTAAAAAGAGACAGATGGGCTTTCATCAGGTTATAAGCACCATATTGCACCGGATTACCTTCACAGGACTTCAGTTTGCTTTGTGATATGGCTCCTGTCTGTTGTTCTGACCTTTTTAGTATATTTCTCCCCTTTGGTCATTATATTTCAGTCAGGTTTGTCTTCTTTTGATTCTGAGTTCAGGGCATCTTCATTTGCTATCTTTTCTGTTTGGAACTTATTCCACATCTTCACATTTATTCAAACAAGTCTCAGTTCCAGAGACTTTTCCTCAGTGGAGATGTAATACTCCATTCTTCCTACTGGTAACTCTCCATCCCTTCATCTAGTTTTAATTTTTTTGTACCATAGATCACTCTCCTAAATTCTCTTTGTTGTTTGTAACTCTTAACTATTTACTGTCTGTCCCCTCTCCACTGCAAAAATGAAGGAACTCTGAGTAAAATAAGGTGTATTGCTCATATATGGCACCTATAATTGAGCAGTGTAGGTACTCAGTAAATATTTGTTGAACTTATGATGATTATGTTTTAGTATCAAGACATGAAGTCAATTACCAATCATGTTTAGATTCAGTTAGATTGCATAAACAGACAAACTGAAGAAAACATAGCAATATATAACATAAAAAAGCTGCTTGAAATGAGATATGACTTCTTAGTGTCTCTGGATTTCTGAATGATAGTAAGATCTTCAATGCTGGCTCATCTCAAAAGTTCCTTCAATAGACTGTGATTGGTGTAGGTTTACTTCCGTTGAAGTATATGTCTTTTCTTCTTCCTTGAAATTTCTGAACTTGAGGAGCATCAGACAAACCTTTGATTGCAGAAGAGAGAACTTCTTTTTTTAGGCTACAGCACCTATACTAGTTGGACTAGCTGGACAAAAAAAAAAAGAAAACCTGATTGGTTAATCTCCAAACCCAGATGGAGAGAGATGGAGAATATATATATTGGAAAGAGAAACACAGGAGATGTTGATATAGGAAAAGTGTTGTTGAGTCTAAAAGATTAAACATTGCAATTTGATGCAAGGAAGATTACAGAATTTTCATTTCTAAAAATGTTAAGAATAGAAATATAGAATTCCTGCTTTTCTTGATGTTATGGTAAAACAGGAGTAAGATGAAGTAATATCATCATTGCCAACATCATTTTCATCAATATTTACTGATTGCTTATTGAAGTGTCTCTCAAAGTGTAGTCTAAGTACTCCTGGAAGTTTCTGAGATCCTTTTATAAGGTCCACAGGGTCAAACCTAATTTCATATAAATACTAAGATACTGCCTTTTTCAATTTATTGACATTTGTGCCAAGAAAGCAATGATAGGTAAAATTGTTGACACCTTAGCAAAAATCAAGGCAATGGCACCAAAATTACCCAGTTGTTACTATCCACCCTTAGTTAAAAACTGTGCTTAAGAATGTCTTTGATGAATCAATAAAAAATATTAATTTTATAAAATCGCACTCCTTGAGCACCTGACTTTTTAATATCCTGTGTCATGTTAGCAAAATTTTGCTGAAGATAATTAAAAAACAACTGCAGCCATATATTGACGGGAAACTGTAAGACATTCAAGCTGGAATCAGAAGAGTACATAGAATGAGGGATATCATTGTGATGTCAGATGGATCTTGGCCCAAAGCAAAGAGTACCAGAAAGATATTTACCTATGTTTTATTGACTATATGAAGACATCTGACTGTTCTGGACTGTTTTGTTGTGAAGAACGGGATAACATTATGAAAAATTCTGAATAATATTATGATGTAAACTGAAATGATTAAGGAAATCAATACTTGAAAAAATATCTAGATCATAGGTCTCATTATAGCTCAAATCGGAGGGACAAATTCTGGATAACATTGTGAAGAATGGGAATTACAGAACACAAATTTTGCTCATGCCGAACCTCTACATAGAATAAAAGGCAGTTGTTGAAATAGAACAAGGGGATACTGCATGGTTCAAAATTGGAAAAGATGTGCAGCTGGATCGTGTCCTTTCATCTTTCTTAGTCAATGTAAGCTGAACAAATAATCCATGAGGAAGAATATGACATCAAAATTGACTGAAGACTCGTTAACACCCTGTGATATGCAGATGTCACAACCTTGCTTCCCCAAAGTAAAGACAATGAAGAAATTACTCATGAAGGTGAAACTATGGTCTTCAGTAGGGATTGCACTTAAACACAGAGAAAACAAAGGTCTTCACAACTGAACCAATGAACAACATCATTATAAATGGAGAAAAATTTGAAATTGTCAATGGCTTCTTTCTACTTGAATCAACCATCAATGTCCATGGAAGAAATAGTCAAGAAATAAAGTGAATTATTGCATTGGATAAATCTGCCAAAGATCTGTTTAAAGTGCTGAAAAGCAAAGATATCACTCTGATGACTAAGGTATGCCTGATCTAAGCTGTGGTCTTTTCAGTTGCCTAATATACATGTGAAAGCTGGACAATAAAAAAGGGAGACAGAAGAATTGATGCATTTGAGTTGTGATGTTGGTGAAGAATATTGAATATAATGTGGTCTGTGAAAAGAATGAACAAACAAGTCTTAGGAGAAATATCACCTGAATGCTCCTTAGAAGCGAAGATGGCAAGACTGGCTCAGTGACTTTGCACATGCCATTAGGATAGAGCGGTTGTTAGAAAAGGACATCATGTTTGCTCAGTGGAAAGGAGGGAAACCCTCAATGAGATGAATTGACACCATAGTCACAACAATAGACTCAAACATCCCATTGATCATGAATATGGCAATGATCCAGGCACCATTTTGTTCTCTTGTACATAAGGTCTCCAGCATTGAATCGCTGGGAACTAACAACATCACAAAATGGGAAGCACAAATAATGTGCTTCTGCTGCATTAGCAAAATATGATAATTGTCTATAAGAAAAGTATTTGTGCAGTTTTTGAATTGTGATCTGAACTGATTGCTCTTTTCATGGAAAACCATTTTTATTAGAAAAAAATGACTAATAAATTTTGGTTATTTAGACTTGTGTATTTGGCAGATATTCTCTTGAAAATGAAACAAGTGAGCTAATGACTTAAAAGAAAACAACTGACAGTACTTGTTG